TATAGGTAAACCCTAAACCCTCAAACCCTAAACCCTAAACCCCTAAACCCCTAAACCCCAAAGCCCAAAGCCCGGACACGGAATCTGAATTCAACAGCACCCAGGTTCCTAAAGATCTTGGCAGCCACGGCACCAGGCGGTGTACCATTTTCGATGCTCTTGAGGATTAACCTAAGGGGCCATGTACCCGAATAGTATACACCTCGAACTTAAACTAGTCACTATATTCAAGTGCTTTAGTGCCATCCCTCCAAAGTCTTGGAGAACGGAATCTGGTTTTTGCCTGGGTGTCCATTCTGATGTTGAGGGGAGTGGGGATTAGGGTTTAGGGTTTAGGCCGATCCACCCGTGTTTTGCAAGGAGGAAGATTGCTCGTGTAACATTGTGCATTGTCCCCAAAGTACAAACCAGAATTCCAAGAATTGAGGTTGGTACCCTTTCGTCCATGGCAGTATGAAAACTGTGTTGCTTAGACGAGTAATAAACGATCCCTCCTCAACCCTAATCCCTTAAAACCCTATGACATTTCAACACCCCCGTCGAAAGTACGAGCTTATAAGGTTCGGTTGCCAAAACCCCAAAGCCTTAAGCGGGCTTAGGGTTGAGGGTTTAGGGTATGTGTTGCAAGGTGTTCGGAGCCTTTTTGGTGACAAGGTTTTGGGTTTTGGATTTGTTTAGGTTTAGGGTTTAAGTTTTAAGTTTTAGGGTGTGGATCCTATCATTCAGGGGTCTTTCGAACATAAGATCAGTCATTACCGATTTTGTTATTAAGCAGCTTCCGACTTGCATTAGCGGGATTCAGGGTGTACAAAGACTCCCAGCTACCCGTTACTATAGCCCAAGCTTATTTCTGAAGGGTCTCCTTGATTCTTAGTGTTGGGAGATACTGATGTTGCAGCTTTCTTGCTGCTACGGTATGCAAGAATGTAACAACAGGCTCCATAGTAGTTCCTGTTTGTGGGTTTATTTTAGGATCCTATATTATAAGGAAATTCCTAAAAGGAAATACTATGGAGCCTGTAGGTAGCCACAAACCTGAACGTTTGAAAACCGCGGAGACTTCGAGGTTCTGGGCCTTTGGCTGACATCCCAGGGTTCAAATCAGAGGTTTAATATAGGGGCCTTAATAAATTAGAATTGGGCTTTGGGGTATACGATACTACAATCATAATAAGGAATCCCCCCACAACAAAAACGAAAGTATAAGTAATTATGAAGGCCCTTATATTCAGTCTGAACTTTAGAGTTCCGCTTGAGGTTCCGTGTTTCAGGTTGTGTGGCTCTGCCTTGGGCCGTAATATAGGGGACCTAATAATTCGAATGGGGTTTTGGGGCGGGTTATACGATAGTTATGATTCGGAACCATCGGTTATTGTTAAGGCCCCTATATTAGATCTACTCATGTCGGCCGTTGCTAAACCTGCGCAGATACCAGCCAGAGCGAAGACGACGACGGCCTCTTGATGGCATGTTCGGCTTAGGAAAAGTGGCAGGGCAGCCCCCCGGCTCTTGACCGCCAAACCCTGCTGCAACCTTAAAGCAAACCACACTCCCAAACTCCTAAACCCTGAACCCCAAACCCTTTTCAGCGCAATCCGGGAAGCCTACAAACCCAAACCCCAAAGCCTGAACAGGAACCCAATCCTACACCCTAAACAACAGAGCCCCCAAGCCATGCACTGCCAGAAGCCTTATGGGTAGTTTTCTAAAATGGGTGCCCTTTTGGAGTCCTTACTAAAACGGATGCCGTACTGTATTGGGGACCGAAAAGAGGGACCCTAATTTAGCTGGGATCTGCTCTTCTTTACTCATAGGCTCCTTAGTAGTTCCTTTTTGTGGTTGGTATTCAGGATCCTATAAGGTAGTCCCAAGAAGGAGCGACTAAGGAGCCTATGGGTAGGGAAGTCCCGCACCTTGGGTTCGAGGTTTAGGCTTCAGGGAGCGTCCGGGCTGAGGACTAGAGACGTTTGTGCTTCTAGGCTGTAGGGTTTAGGGCTAAGCCCTCAACATCACGCAACCCCGGAACCCTCATTGTTTGGGGGGGCTTTAGGGTTTAGGGGTTGTTGACCTTGGCAGCTGTCTATGTTGTTTGGTTTTGCCCTTGCTGTTTGGAACCTGGGTTCCGCTGCTCGCTGCTGCTGTTGGTTGTGTGTGTGTGTTGTTTCCCAGCTGTCGTTGTTCTCTTCATTCCGGCTACACAACAAAGCCCAAAGCCCAACGCCCCCAGACCTTTCTGCGAAATCCAGGAAACCTGGATCAAGTACGTACCGTAAGCGTAAATCCCTAAACCCGAAACCTAGACCATCCCTCGGTGTCCCTCAGCCCTAAGCCCACTGAGCCCTAACCCACCATGCCCTAAGCCCCAAGCCCAGTATTCCCCACACCCTAAATCCTAAACCCTAAATCCTAAACCCTAAGCCCTAAACCCTAAGCCCGAAACCCTAAACCCTAAACCCAAAATCCTTAACCCTTTTCATCCTACACCCCAAGCCCTCAACCCTACGCCCACCTAAGCCCTGAGAAATAAGAGGAAACTTGGATCAAGTCGCCAACGCCCTACGGAGCCTCAGAGTGCTCAGAGTGTCGCTACCCGAGCTTTCTGGGTTCTAATAGGGGTTTAGGGCTTAGGGTTTAGGGCTTAGGGTTTAGGGTTTAGGGGCTTCGGGCTTAGGGTTTAGGGTTTAGGGCTTAGAGCTTTGGGTTTAATTAGGGTTTAGGGCTTCGGATTCAGGATTTAGGTTGATTTAGCGCTTAGGTTTAGGGCTAAGGATCTGAATTTTAGGTTGCATTGAGCTACCATACTCGGGTTCCTCTAAGGTTTTTTTTTAAACAAGGGTTTATAGGAGTACGGCACTAGGATTCCTTCGAGGATTCGATAAGGGTTTAGGGTTAGTGATCTTGATTCAAGCTACCAGAATAAGCCCTAAACCCTCAACTCTAAACCCTGGTCTATACCGAAGACCATGGCTTGTTGAATTCTTGAACAAGAACCCAGGCTTCTCCCAGCTAGGACTGAAATGTAAACGCGGCTTAGGCTGGGTTTAAGGTGCGGGTTCATAGGTCTCAGGGCTTGTAGCTAAGAGGGTTTAGGGTCTCTTGAGGGTATGGGGTTGGGTATATATGCACGAAGCCTAAAGTTTGGGGAGCGGGGGGTCGGGGGTTTAGGGTTTAGGGTTGAAGTTTGCGGGTTTGGGGGGATTGTAGGAGTTTGTGGCTAATGGCCCTGGGCTTAATGGTTGGATTTGGAGCCCTGGGGTATCTCGAAGGTTTACCCTGTGTTTCTGTTGTCTGCAACAATAACAAGCAACCAATAACAATAACATCAAACTCATAGTGCTAGCATCATTAATAGGAGGAGTGGAGGAGTGGTGGTGGTGGTGGTGGTGGTGGTGGTGGTGGTGGTGGGAGGAGGAGGAGGAGGAGCGGCAGTAGAATGATAGCAGCAATAAAAATATTCTTGACGATATAATCATAGTATCAATGTTTTGTAGCAGTGAAGTTATTCTGAATCATGATATTCCCCAGGCCAAGGGTCCAATGTCTCTGATGTTTCTTACAGGGCCCTGCTCTAGCTATGCCTTGCCCCTTGCATGGGAGCTATCGTGCAGAAGAGCCCACAACATGCCCCGCTGTGCGAAGCAATTTCTGCTCCAGGGTAGCAGGGTCACACACACAGACAGGAGTTGAAGACATACTGTTGGCGCACGTAGCATGCACGATCACTGTACAAAGACTTGACTCGCCCTGCAGAGAAAGCCAGTCGAGTGATGGGTTTCGGTGCACACTCCCACGACGCCGAGTTTCCAGACGATGACTGGAACCTCTACCAGCACATAGACTTGGAGACTTCCGTTGCCCTGAATGCCATCCTCGGTGGCCACATCTCCTCGAGATCTCAAGTTGCTGCTGTGCTGCGACCGCACGAGCGTCGCCTGGAGCGGCAGCCATGGCTAACCAGTGATACCGACGAGGAGTTGTTGCTGGTGCTCAGGTTCACCTCACCTGTGCATATCCGTAAGATCCTCGTTATTGGGGGAGGCGGCGAGGAGGAATGTAGTAATGAGGATGAGCTCGGCGGCCACCCGAGCCGCCTGCGCTGCTTCGTGAACCGGGAGGAATTCGACTTCGGCAGCCTCAACGATGTTGCGGCCACACAGGAGTTCCTTGGCCTTTCTTGGCCTTTCGGGAGGCAGCATTAAGTAACATTCTCCTGTACTTAGTGCTTTCGTCATTGAGAAGAACGAAGAATGTGTGTTTGGTAACATCGCGAAGTCTTAAAAAAAACAAGTTCAAAGCCCGTCCACGAACCCAGGTTCCATCTGGCAGTGAATTCTGAGGGCACGGCGGAGCTTTTTACGAAAGTCTCTGCCTTTACCAACGTCACCTCTCTTGCGCTTTACTTCCCGAGTAGCCTTGCTGGACAGATCTGTGCTTGTCATAGTAGGCCATAGGATTTTGAGCTGGACTTTCGAACAAGGGTTGAAACATCCTAAGCCGGGAACCTCGAAAGTCGAAGACCCTATGATATAAACCTTAGAGTTTAGGGTTTAGGGTTTAGGGGTTTAGGGTTTCGGGTTTCGGGTTTGAGGGTTTAGGGTCTAGGGGTTCAGGGTTTAGGGTTTG